CTCTCTCTCTCTCTCTCTCTCTCTCTCTCTCTCTCTCTCTCTCTCTCTCTCCCCATGTAGTGTATTTATCCTCCACACACCAACACAAAAGACACCCCCAGGGGGTCCAGACCGTGGCGTAGTTAGCCTAAATCGTGTTAGCGGTGACGTAAAATGGTTACAAAAGTTTAGAGTACAACTGAGGGGTGGTTGGTGTTTGGAGTGCACTACTTGTGGATCCTGTTTCCATCCTTTCCTTCTTTTGTTTAGTTTTAGTAAGAGTTTTACGGCACTTCCAACTCAATAAGGTCATACAAGTGCCGAAGATTAGAGGTGTTACAAGAGAGTAACAAACACAAAAAAGAAGGAGGGAAGTTCAGGATGATAGATGTTGGATAGAACAGAAGGAGCAAACCACACCAGAGCACCCGCCAACCAACCACCTTTTCTTTCTGTTGTTTCTGTCTGTCTGTTAACCAACAGATTTTCCCTTGCACTGTATGACCCTTACCCTGTCAAAATGCTCCTCTCAGTTTAAACACAGTACAGCTACGTGCACACACACAACAACCATCAAAATGATGAAAGTGGACCTAAACCTGACACTAACCCTATCCTCTAAATGGATTTTGCACCCTATCCCTAACTCTAACCCAGACCCAAACCCTAACCCTAACCATGACAACCCTTACCGTACCCCTAAATTAAATCTGCACCCTAACTCAAACCCTAACCCTAACCCTAGCAAAAACTCAAACTCAAACTCAACCCCTAACCCTTACCCTAACCCAAATTGGTCGCTTCTAAGCACAAGGGAGCTATCACGTAAAATGATGTTTTGAGAAAATCAAAGTTAAAATTTTTGCCCCTTGTTCAGTTTAAAAAAAAGACAAGTAGAGATTTCTCTATAACCAAACAAATATACACACCAATGAAACCAAACTTCTCCTATAGGTAGGGCAATGCCCATTTTTGGTGTAGGTCAAGATTTCTGAAAAACCCCCGAAATCTGGGTCAACCCGCGTGTCCTTAAAAGGGACCATTTCAAATCCTAACCCTAACCCTAACCCTTAGGGCCTACCCTAACCCTCGCAGAACTCTCCACCAAAACCTAAAAAGTTCATGCCGCGGAAAAGTTGAGTAAAAAACAAGATCCTGTTTATTATTCTTTAACTTGTTCAGGCCAGAGATGATTATAAGCACGTGTTTGTAACACAAACGGTTTTGCTATCTGTGTGACGTCATGGCTCGCCGCTCGCCCGCTGGGGATGTGACATAGATGGTGTGTGGACAGGTCACGCTGCATATCATTATCCGGATAACATACGGGGAAATCCCAGCGGGGCAGTGGACAGAGAGAGAGAGAGAGAGGGGGAGAGGGAGGGTGGGGGAGAAAGACAGAGAGA